TAACTCTGTAGTTGAACCTTATTATTCCAGCTCATTACATAAATATAGTAATCTTCTAAATTCCAAAATAAAATTTTTAAGAAACGCAATATTTTTCAATAGTAGTCGCTATAAACAATACTAAATCATTCAAAAAGGATACCTGGGATAAATCAAAACAAAATGATGAGCTTCTTGGGCAATTTTCGACCTAAATGTAGTGCCATCATCAGGGCTTAGAGCATAACAAAATATCTAAAAAACATGAGAAAATATAAATGAATATTACAAATACATAAAAATATTCCCATATAACTTGAAAACTTTTTTTAGATAATTATTTACAGAAATTTGTTTTTATATCAAGATGAGTTCCAGAGAAAGAAATTTTCTGGATGCAGAAACTACTTCACGTTAGTCAGGGTCAAGCGTCATTCATCGGATTCCTCACTTTTACATCATGTTCAGTTTGAAAGCTATGAAGGCATACTAAATATACATATAAAGTCTGAGATCCGGCTTGTCGGGAATTTTGATGATTCTGAATTTTGCATTTTTCTAGCCCTATTAGATCATCAGTTTAAATTAGTACAATGACATAAAGAAATTATTAAATAAAAAATATTATGAACTAATGAAGCATTTATAACCTAATAAAAAAACTCAATATTGTTTGTTTAATTAAGATACAATAACAAGCCGAACAAATATTAATTTAGAAGTCAAACACAAAAATCAGCGTTATATTTTCAAAAGACTAGTTTCGATGGTTTTACTGAACCATTTGCGCTTTTGCAGCTGAGGATGATGGTTCAGTAAAATCGCAGCTAGTCCTGTGAAAATTTGATAATATAATGCTGATTTTGGTTGTTTGACTTCTAAATTGAATTGTTTGTATTAACATTGTTTTCAATGTAAGTTGTATAACTTGCTTTTTTTGTGCTAATACTTTCTTGTTAAGTTATAAAGTTAAATGGTCCAGGTGCAGTAACTGACACATCTAGAATTCTTAATAAAATGTCAATCGAAATTTTTTTCATTCTCATTAACCTCCCTGACACTTTCTCTTGGGAGTGATATTTTTCCCCCTCTTCATTTAAAATCATACTACAGATTTCAACATTCATTAGCTGAGGATCTGAGCACTGTCACTGTAATTAAAAAACTTCTGTTATATTATGAAGGATGTTTTTTAAGTAAGAGCTGCTTGAAAATAAAACATAAACGAGAGAAAATTTTCAAAAATCAAATTTATTTTCAGATACAGTCAAAAGTCTTTAATCCGGAATGATCTATAATCCGGACCTCAAAGCTACAAACTTTACACATGCGCATATGCGTCTACGCGCGCGTTTAATGTATAACGGACGGTATAAGCTAAGCTAAAATTATCTATTTCAGTTAATATTGCAGATTGCGTTCTTACTAAATCTTCTAATTGGATCCAGCTTATTATTTTTTGCAGACTGTTAGAGCAATTTTATAAAAGTAAGCTTGAACTTTCAATTATATCAAAAAGAATTTCCGATTCTGGAGCTACCAAAGGATCTACAAAGCGAAAGCATGTTTCAATGTCCATCAAACAAAAAGTGGAATTGCTGCAAAAAATGAACAAAGGCATATATCCTTTGATTCTCTAACAATTCCGAAATATGTTTATCAATTTCAAGCTGCTCTGCAGGGGTGGGGGGGGGACGACACGGTGCGGAATGAACTGGAAGTTAATCTGTCAGCACTAGCTTTATCTTCAGGGCAGATGCTTTTATTTTATTCGGCTTAAAATTCCTTACTAAATGTAGTATTTCATCTCGATGTACTCCGTGTTTGATATGATTTAAATCAAACTCCTCGTCATTATAAATATCACGAATACACATCAAATAGTTTTCTGGTTGCAATTTTCTATGCGTAATGTATGCTTTACGCATGCGCGCGTTGAAATGTTTAACAAAATTTTGATACCTTTTAGATCATAATTGCTCTTTATTTCATAAATTACGGTTTCATATTTTTAATTTTATAATTTCTGCATGCCATTTTACCAGATTTAAACCGATGATCTATAATCCAGAAAAAATGATAATCCGGAATGGCTGAATTCCCGACATGTTCGGATTAAAGACTTTTGGCTGTACTACGTATGTTTCTCTATTTTTTAGCATAGTTGCCAAGTTTGTGTAAATACTCTTCATACATTAGAACTAGATTTTGAATAACCTCTTCAAAGAAACTTGCCGCCTGCTGCGATAACCAAGAGATCACAGCTGTTTTCGCGTCTTCGTCATCGTTGTAGTGGTTGCCGCTGAGACAATGTTTGAGATAGCGGAAAAGATGAAAATCACTCAGCACAAGGTCTGGGTTGTCTAAAACTTCCCAGCCAAGAGTCCAATAAAGCTCGGGTCTGTGCTATGGTGTGAGGCCCTGCATTTTCATGGAGTAGCAAAATTCCCTCCGTCAGCATATCACGTCTTTTGTTTTAGAGTTCGCTCTGTGTAGCTTTCGCAAGGTTTGGCAGTAGGCTACTGCATTTATGGTGGTTCTGCGTTGCATAAAGTCGACCAACAAAACACCATGCCGATTCCAAAACATGGATGCCACGATTTTTTGCTGGGACAGAGTCTGTTTGGCCTTAGCCGTTATAGGAGAGTTCGTCTCCACTCCATGCTCTGTCATTTCCATTCGGGCGTGACGTGCGAAACCCACGTTTCATCTCCTTTGTGATCCAAATCAACATGACGTCACCTTCTTCATTACAATGAGTAAAAAAATTCAGCGAATACTCAAATCTTTTGTTTTTGTGGTCGTCTAGTTAGGAGTTTAGGGACCCAACGGGCACACAGTTTCTTAAATCTTAATTTTCCAGAAAGAGTCTTGTACAATACTGATTTGGACAGATCAGGAAATTCATTTGAACGAATGCTTATGGTGAAGTGTCTGTTCTCAAGAATTTTCACTTCAACTAAAGCCACCATATTCGCAAATCTGCCAGTGAATGTCAGCAGCAGACAGGTTTCTTGCCGACAAAGAACGTTTCACTGACCGTACCTCACATGTGGCGGGCGATTCGATAATCTTGAACATTTTAAAGACAACTGTACAGGTCACCGACGTAGCTGCAATTAAGCACAGTTGTTTCCAAGGAATGCCTGGACATGATGCAAATACTCGTTGCGACGCATGCTCCACCTGTTAGCGCATACAACAAAACGGCCTTTACTTAAAAAACATACAACGTATTATTTATTACCATTTAACATTTCTTCAAAAATTCCATTTTTGTTTGCAATATCTGATTACTTTCAAATTCGTGAATATCATCATAAAGCTTTGCTAGTGTCTGCTATACAGTATTGCCAATGCATCGTGAAATTGGTGACTAATCACACATTGTTTCACTAAATTTTATCTTGCTTTTATTGCATGCTAACAAAGTTAAAGCCTGGGCTTATATTACTTATTTATTATACTTACCCCTATTTCCCACATATGCTTAAGACTTAGCCAAGTCCCAAATAAATTCACACACATATGCTTAAGGTTTATCCAGGGCAAGTGCTAAATATTTTGTTTGTGAAGTCTGCAGGTTTGAAATTCTGCTGCCAAGTACCTCGCTTAATTCTAAAAGTTTTGCTGCTCCTAAATTTTGTACTCTTGTGCATTCCATAAATTCTAAACATTTTGCTATCCCTCAATTGTGTTGCTCGGTGTTTCTCCAAATTCTAAAAATTTGCCTCCCCTAATTTCTGCCAGCAACTGTACCCATACCAATTCTGGCCTTATCAGAAAAACATACAGTTATTCTCAATTCAAACAGCACTAAATGTAATCTTTTAGCCTATGAGCATCATTTACATAATTTTCTGCACATGGAAAGAAATTTCTGCTAAATTTCTTAACAACACACTCAATACTTCACAGCTAAAATTTCTAATGATCACCAAACATAACATCAACATTAAGGATTACCATGCTCTTTAAAATTCAATTAATACTTAAAAAAAAAAAAAAAAACTGATGTGGACAGCATGTCTTCCTTATACGGCCTATTAAATTATATACATTTTCCTGCACTTCATTTAAACTTATTTCCCAAAATTTCATTAGATATTTATGTCCAGGGCCGGATTTACATATAAGCTACAGAAGCTAAAGCTTAGTGGCCCCCCCCACACTTTCTTGGAAGACCCCCAAAAATTGAAATATAGTATAAATAGTATTAAAATATACAAGGGTCAGTTAAAAAGTTACTTGCACTGCCTAAGACAACAAAAGCACAAACTTTATTCATATATTAATGTTCCATTCAAAATCTACTTTTTAACGTGACGTCTGCTATTTAAGCATTTGTCGAGGCGTGGTACAAGTTTTTCAGTATCTTCTGCAAAGAAATCCCGTCCAATGTCTGATAACCTTTGTTGGGCTGCAGCTTTTGCTTCAGCATCCGAATGGTACTGTCACTTTGAAAGTTCTTGTTTCAAGAGACCAAACACATGGAAGTCAGGAGGTGAAAGTCTGGGCTATAAAGAGAGCGATTCCTCTTTACAGCCCAGACTTTCACCTCCTGACTTATACTTTTTCAGACCTATATTTCTTCCTGACCTGTATTTTCTTCCCACCTATACTTTTTCAAACACGTTGCATCATTTTGCGATAGCTTGATGTGACATTTAATTTTCACCATACACTTCAAGCAACTACCCATAAATTTCAGTACAGTTGCACCTTTTTGGTCACAAAAAAAAAAAAAAAAAAAAAAAAAAAAAAAACAAGAATCACTGCATGCATTTAATTGGATGCTATTTGCAGCTGTTGAGATATATTTGCGACTGATTATCAGAAAAAACTAAACTTGCCTCAAAGAAGCCACATGTCTGAAGGGTTCCACACAGTATCATCCAAATAGTCTTAGACAAAACATATTTACGCAGTAGTGCAACAAAATTTTGATTGACCTATGTATTATAAATTACTTATAAAGGGCCCCATATCTCAAATAACTTTAGGCCTTATGAAGTCTAAATCTGGCTCTGTATATGTCTCATTCAATCAATTCAGTTCTCATTTTGTGGCAAAAATACATAAAAAACTCAAACATCTCATTAGAAATTGTAAAATTTAAAAAATAAAAATAAATAAAATAAGTAAATATTTTTTTTTTTTTTTCAATTAAATTAGATGCTACACAAAAAGGGGAAATTTGATCAGTGAACACAAAGACAAAATTTTCGGTGCACAAAACTGAAAGTTAACTTTCG